ATTATTATTATTATTATTATCATTATTATTATTATATATTATACAATATATTATTATTATTATTATTTATTATTATTATTTTTAATTATTATTATTATTATTATTATTATTATTAATTATTATTATTATCGTTATTGTTGTTGTCGTTATTATTGTTAGATAGCTCATGAATAATGCTACCAAAATTTCAAATAAGTAAAAACACGAAGAGGTATTTAATAAAAAAAACCGTCGTTAATCGAATTACTGATGACGGGCTCAATAATGAGCCTGATCGTGTAGTAGCAAACATGTTTCGGAAATACTATTCCAATCATCAGTGCGAAAATACCAATTTCCCAAAGGTGTTTATACGCATTAGAACACGTGTATAAAAATTGGCATAAAACAATTAGACTGATGAAGGGAAACCTTCAACGCAAACACCACGTGCCACTGCATGATTGTTATGGCAATTAGGACCACAACAATCAGACAGCGAGCTTGATGTTTAGATTGCAAGTTTGCTTGTTTAGAGATGGATTGTTCTAAGTGATGTGCAGACCTTCCTTAACTTTGAGTTTATAAGCTGAATCTGCAGAGTCAAGAACGGTGAAACATCATTAACTAGGTAAAACCTGTAAATGTTGACAAATATTAGAGGCCCCGTCCCTGAAATATTCGCGCACTCGTGTTGAGAGTTACATCCCACACAAGTGAATTTATATACTACACGAGCACGGAACACCTCCGGAACAGGGTCCTTCACCGCTAGAAAGTTAGAAATTTTAAATGATTTAAAAGCCAACTTTATAGCAATTCCATGACAATATTTACTGGTGATTTTGTGAATTCTGCTCTGTGCATTACTTGCAAATTGTAAATACGGCAATTTGAAATAACAAACATTGACATTATCTTTGTCTTTTGTCTTAAAGGTCTCTCTTGAACCAGGACAAAACGAGAGACCATCACTTAAATGTCGACTAAATTTATCATCAATAATATTATTAGGGAAAGCCATTTTTTAAGAAATTGTTCTAAGAACTTCAATGTCCTTATTAAAACCTGGCCAAGAATTATTTGATTTATAAACCCTGTCGATCAATGAGCTGAAAATCCTATTTTTGTAAGAGGACGCTGTGAAACTGCGAAAGTTGATGAGGAGGCCCGTAAAAGTAGATTTTCTATACACCGATGTCTTCACAGATGGCCCACCATTATCTAATACGTCTAAAAAGGGTACCCGTTGATTAATTTAATTTTTCATTCTGAGATTAATGTTCGGATGCTGCTTGTTAATATAATAAAAAAAATGTTGTAACATGATCATTCGAATTAAATAAGCAAAAATATCATCGACATAACGACGATAGAACGTACCGGTAGCAGGTGCCTGGATGAAGTTAGTTAGTCAGGTTTTTTATCTCGTGACCCAAGGGAGAGCCCTTGGCAAATTGGTATTTTAGCACTGATGATGGGAATAGTATTTCCGGAACATGTTTGCTACTACACGATCGTGCTCATTATTGAGCCCGCGATCAGTAGTTCGAGTAAAGACGGTTGTTTGTTTTATTACATTCCTCGTAGTGTATATAATTATTATTATTATATTATTATTATTATTATTATTATTATTATTATTATTATTATTATTATTATTATTATTATTAATATTATTATTATTATCATTATTATTTAAGGCTGTTCAAGTGAAAATGGTAGCAGTTACTGTACCAAACCAAACAAGGTTGGTTTATTTTTGTCCCTTGATGTGTTTATTGTGAACTTTCGTGTACTAAACTGTTAGCCTATTCCAGTTTTATTTGTTTTCATGTTAGCCGTGTAGTTTAGATATATTTTCCGTGTTCAGATTTAGTAGTAGCTTTTAACTAATATTTAAACCTAGTACCATTAACTTAAAGAACGTGGACGTAATAATTATTTTGTTTTTAAGTAAAATATATTTCATTCAAAGATATGGTAACTTCATCGAATTAGTATATAGTGTGATTATTGGTAAAATCTATAAAGACCACCACCAAATATTATTTAAAGCTAATATTGTATAAATTTTTGACTGTCGTTTCATATCCTCTTTTTGTTGTCCAGAGAGCCTACGCGATGGAGTACTTTGCAGAATTTGTCAGTTGTGTTCTATCAAACTTAAACCACATAAAAGGCCTACAAACAAAAACAGAGTATTTTGACGAAATGAACTTTAGTAAGATAGTTTTTTATTCAACTTTTGCTGTATGAAGACACAGTGGTCACATAATTCCAAGAACCGTATTTATTCAATAACAAAGCATAGTTTGGAAATTTCGATATTTTTATAAAGCTTGAGCAGTCTTTGGGATCTAAACATATTATTTCGTGTTATTTATATCATACAGACTGCCAGTCAGATTAAAATCTGTTTCTTTGAAACCGTTAAATTTTCAAATTGAGACATTCAGATTATAATTGTGAAAAATGTTCAATATTTTTTATTTATGATAACGTAAAGTACAATATGATTTACCTCAAATGGACGTAAATTATAAATATTAATAATTTTCTTATAGTTGGAATTGCAAAGACAGTAAGTACCGACGGTATTCAATGGGTAAACAACAGCTTGCAACTTGTTGATAACACGAAAGTAGAGTTTGATCTTCATGTTCAAATGAAAGGTAATGTCATTATAATGGTAGTCCTACATACATTATTATGAAAGAATGATTACGCTCCGCTCTTAAATGAAAATGCAAATACTATAATTAAAAATAATTGCAAGTAATAATACAATAGAATATTAAACAGTAATAAATGAAAAATAATATATGTAAAAAATCTTAATAATAATGATAACGATAACAGCAACAATTGCAAGAGAAATAGCAACCACAAAATCATAAAAAAAAGGAGCTGCAACAGAGTATAGGCGAGGCTTTTCAAAGTAATTTGTATTTAAATAATACAAAAATTTAAATAATAAAAATAACACTAAAACTCTGCTGCTCTAAAGCTACTCTAATTCGAGAAGCTATTATACTGCACTTTACTCTAAGAAGTATGCCATCCATCTCGTGCCGCTAGGCCTATGATACAGCAATTTACTATCAGCATGCAACTCAACGTCAGCCTTTATGATACTTCTTAAAGTAAAATGCAGAGTCCGGTGGATTGTCAGTGCACGTTTGTGTTCTTTCGCAACGATCGACCTGCTAACATTGTTATAAATAATAATTACATAATTTATTAATTTTCTGTCGACACCAAGTACGGTGGAAACACGATGAATCTATAAATGAAAAAGTAAGTTGTTGTAAAATACAGACCCAAATGACCTTATATTTAAAAAAAAAATCATCCTACCATAAAACTCGCCCCACTTCAGCAATAAAGCTTGAAATGTTCCTTATGAAGATAATTCTGAAGTTGTTTTATGTAAATATGATTCTATTTTGCCTGTTTTTGAATAGTAAAAAGATGACAAACATACAATATTGTAGAAATATGATATATATGAAATTGTATGCTAATAGGCCTAGATAAAAATGTATTAAACATTCAAGTGCAACGGTACATTGAATGGTAAAGCACCATAAATAAATATACAAATAAGTTTCTATAAATTTGGCACTAGTGAAAACATGAATATATAGAATTTACCTCCCATTTCCCATTTCAAAAGCTTCTTGGATGAATTATTATGCAAGACCTGCAATCTGAGTGTAAATGATTCTATTAAACGAGCTTTTGATAATATGTTTTTTGACAGATCTCCTACTTTGTTTTAACTAATAACATGTGAGTTCCCACATCCCTACAATGAATAAAGTGTACGAAAACCGAATAGATAACCTCATGTATTATTATACTCTAACAGGTTTCACTTTAAAATACGCAGATGTAATGATATAATCACATATTATATTATGCTGTTTTCAGGTGATGTGTTGCTAGTTGCAGTGTTTACTAACCATACAATAGAAACCAATACAGCTGTAAATGACCCTGTTGTCACTGGGGGAGTGTACGTAGAAATGCTAATATTATGCATATTCAGCAGTGTTAAGTGGAATTATTTACACTAATCTACTTTCTTTTAGGTCAAAAGGTTTAGATGCTACATTTATTCGTCAAAATTTAATTGCGTTCGAAATATGTACGATGCATTCATATATATTTATATGTATACATATATATCATGTATATATATATATATATATATATATATATATATATATGTGTGTGTGTGTGTATAAAAATGAACAAACTTAGAAATAATATTAATAATATTCTAATAATATTGATAATTTAATAAATACGGCAATGTTAACTTATAGGTAGCTTCTTTCACACGTTATTTTTTTCTATAAATTACTCAGTTTGTATATTTTGTTAATATGTCATTACAAGTAGTGAAATCAAACTGAGAAGGATTAATAAAAACATGAAAGAAACATTCAAAACTTAACGGGTCAACGGTTTGACCCCAAAAAAGTCCTACAAAAGTTTTTTCAACGGTTTTAGATACTATTGCATGTCAGGAATAACATAATAAAAATATAGTAAAATATATTGAGCTATATTGTAGAAAAGAGCTTTCCAACAATACCTAACAATACCTTTGAACTAATTTGGTCATGTGATTTTTTAATGGAAAATAACTCCGTAGCTATGAATTTTAGATAGGTGTAATGAGAAACTTAACAGAATTCATAAGTGGGTGATTAATCACCCATTGTATATTCTTATGTATTCTGTATTATGTATTTCTCATTGATACTCATGCGCTGACGAAGTTAACAGGAGTTGCCGAAAATTTCGCAAATAAACTATTCCTATATCTCTTACAAGTCAAAGTATCGTAGCAGTTTATTTTGTCTGCGTCTACCTACTGA